AATTCAAAATGACAAAATGCAAACCCAACGTGGTGAAAGGGACTAGAGATTGTATCTTATGAGGATCATTTGAAGGGACTAGAGCTATTTAACCTGAGAAGAGAATTTAGGCATAGATTGTCAGGAACCTTAGAGGTAAGAATCTAGTCCTCCCAGATGAGAAATTCGTGCCCAGCAAGAATAAATAACTTGTTTAAAGTTAAGCTAAGATTTGAATTTATGTGTTCTGACAAAGATCTTTCCACATTGTCTCTTTTAGGGGAATATGTTTCATGCCTTCAAACATCTGAAAGGCAAACATGTGGAAGAGACTTGTTTTCTTGCTCCAACAGGCAGAACTAGTACTAATGAGTAGAAGTTGCTGGAAGGCAGATTTCTGATCGATATGAGCAAGAGTTTTTCATAATCTAATAGTGCAGTATCCTTTTTAAAAAAATTTATTGAAGTAACCTGAAAGTATTGGAGCTAAAAAAGGCAAAGATTTTGTAGAAGATTTCTTAGGTGAGGTGGTACACTATAAAAGATAGCCTTGATGCTCATTCTTCAAAGAATGACACAGTAGAACCATGGAAGCTTTCAGTAAGAGATCATGGGGCAAAAGGTCAGAGGAAGAATCAAAGGGTAGAAGTAGTTGGTGATTCCTTGCTTAGGGGTGCTGAGGTAGCTACTTGTAAAACTAATCACAATAATAAAGAAGCCTTCCTGGGGCAAATACCGAGACATGACAGAGGAAAAAAATTGCCTACCTTTTTTGCCACACAACAAGTATTTATTAAAGATTTATATGATAGGCACTGTGCTGGGTAGTACATTGTGGCGATGGTGGTGGTGGTGGGCCAGGATTAGGGGAGAGTGGTGAGAAGAGTTCTCCCACGGTGCTTATTAGATTGTAAACTCCTTGAGGGCAAGGACACTGTCTAAACTTATACTTGTATACCTAGCACCTAGCACTGTTCTATGTACATTGAGGCACTTAATAAGTGTTTAATTGAATTGCTCTAATTTGTCATCCTAGAGGGAAGTGGCTATATTTGGCTAGTAACTAGGGAAAACCTCACAGGTAGTGATAGATTAGAGAAACTTGCCTGTATTTGTTAGGGCTGTCCTCTAGTTTTTCATATTTTATATTGATTTTTTTTCTCCTGATTATACTACAGGCCAAGAGAGGAAAAGCAATAAAACATAGGTTTTTCTCTCTGTAAATAGACTGAAAAAAATTTTTCCCCTCCTCTGGAAAATATCCTAGTCACTTACACACATGAGGGACCAACTTACAAAGACTCTGGGCTTTGAAAATGAACACGTATGCTTGCATGGGAACAAGAAAAAGAAGTATTTACAGCAGAAGGAACATGTGGTGGGACTCAGCTATAACCCTTATAGTAGAGGAAATATGCAAACTTAGTGCTAGCAGGAGGTATTTCTCCAGACATTCTCACTTCCTTGGAAACAGTATGTATTTATTTCCTTGGCATAGAGCAAAGCAATACCACAGTCTGAGGAACCCGCCCAGGGTGGGAACTCTGGTGCTCCAGGGGAATTTAGAAGACACTGTATAGGCTCAGAGAGAAAGAGAACATCACTCCCATTTGAAGAATGTTCCCTGATGGAGCTGAGATATTCTACACCCCCACAAGTTAAAACTTGTAGGATGAGAGGCAGAAATGCTCTTAGTTATTTAGGGCATGGGTGTTACTACCATAAGGAACAGGTGGGAATTTCTTTTACTATTTAAATTTGCCATCAGGCAAAGATGAGAGGTCCTGTATAAAAAAAGCAATTTACTTAAGGAAAAATTGTACGGTAAAGTTTGAGAGTCTTGTTAACTGCAGGTTACATTAATGCCTCTGTCACATGGTGGCCAGGCCCTAGCAGAGACAATATAGTCTTTATAAGTTGTTTTAAGATCACAAAACTCTGGGAGCATAAAATAATTCAATATTAAATTTTACATTTGAAAGATTATTTAGCCCAACCCCATCAAATAGGGAAAATGAGTCCCTGAGTGGTAGAAATTTGATGCCTGAGCTAGAATTAGAATGCAAGTAATCCCAGCTCCCGGTCTAGAGCTACGTCTTACAGGATGATATTGGCAAGTTATGAGAATGAGAGATGGATGGATGGATAGGGCTTCTGTTCAGCACCAGGATTTAGGTACTCTGTGTGTGTGTGTGTGTGTGTGTGTGTGTGTGTGTGTGTGTGTGTACACCGTATGTTAGATTATATGAGCTAGTAGGGGATTTAGCCATTACCTTGTTCAACATCTTGATTTTAATGATGGGGAAGCAAGCCCAGAGAGGTCACAGCTCACCAACAATCACACAATCACTTATCCAAAGAGCTAGAACTAGAACTTAGGTTTCTTTAGTCCCAGCCTCCTGCTCTTTTCAGATCATGAAAGAAAAAAGAAAGGTGTGACTTTGTTCAAACCTGTTTGATGTAGTGCCTTGCCAGGTCTTGAGGCTCAGTCATTGTTCATCACTATTACTCAATCTGTGACTAATTCCTTACTGATGTAAGCCATTTATTTTCTCCTGGTATTTGGGTCCTCCCCCTTTCTTGCTCTAATATTCATGAGAGTGGAATATTTTCTCTTTCTACAAAGGTCTAGCACTATTTGGGCTCCACCAACATTGCTTTAGATTGTCTCTTTCCATGGCAGTTGCTCCTTATACCTGCATGTCCTTTGTCTCTCTCCGGATAACTTCTTCCCTGCTGTTCTCCTAACCCCAACACACACATTTGACCATGATGTCACATGTTATGAAATCCTGATGGAGTCTCAACATGGAGAGGGAAATCTTATTTTGTTCAGTGCTTCTTCCTGTTGAAGATACGTAAAACATTACCATGCTTAGCCCCTTCCAGCATGAAGGAACATTGTATGACTGAATTTCTTTCCTGTTTCCTGAGATTTACAGAAAACAAATGAAAAATATTTTCTTGAAGCCCTGGGATTTGCTTTCTTAGTCACACACACACACACACACACACACACACACACACACACACTCATGCCTTCAGGCTCTGTTAAATTGAGTATCTGGGTTCAGTGATTAGATCCTTCTCTGGTCTAAATTTATCTCTTTCCCTTCCTCTCCCTCCCTAGGAAAGTGATCCAAGAACACAGTAGTCTGCATGTTAGGCCTTCAATAAATGTTTGTTAAATAAAATTGATTTCTCATTTCAGTAACAAATGTTGTACTATCTTCACTTTTGCCTAGAGTAGGAGTGTGGTATAGTGACTAGAGTACTGAACTTAGAGTCAGGAAGACCCAAATTTAAATCTCACCTTTGAAAACTTTCTAGCTGTATAGCTTAGAACAAGTAACTTTAATTTTTCTGAGCCTTAGTTTTCTCATCTGTAAATGGTGATAATAATATCTATAGTATCTAACTTACATGGTTGTTATGAGGCCCAAATGTGATTTTATATATATAAAGTGCTTTGCAAACTTTAAAGTGCTATATAAATGCCAGTTGTTATTATTATAGTCTTAATAGTCCTTGGCTGCAAATTCCTTTTCGTTCCCTCTCTGCTTCAAACTGTTATCACATATATCAAGTGGGACATATTGTTGTTTCTTATCCTATCATTGGTAAATATCACAGAATTCTTTAAAATTGTCTTTGCCAAGTGAAATTGGTGCAGGCACTTCCTGAAATATATTCATCAGGTTGTAATTTCCTTCACATCAGATTACCTAAAATTTATATTCCTAATCCTTGTAAATAAGACCTGATAAATGACTGCTCATTTCCTCTTTTTTCTTTCTGTTCCCTTCCCTCCAGTATCTTTTGCTATGATTCCAACTAGTTTGCAGTTCTATTATATTTCCTCCACTAATTAATTTATTCCTAAATTACTAGCAATCTGCATTACCAACTACCTATCCCCCTCCCCCACACTAGTAATTCATTGACTGATCCACAGGGTTTAGGCTTTACCACTTTGTGATTAAAAAAAAAAAGTCATCTTTGATTACCACTATAAGTACAATAAAATCTGTACAAATTAGGTCTCAGGACAAAATTCCATAATCTCCATAAGGGTTTTTGTACCTTTGATTGTCAGGATCATGCAGACTCTGACCAGCCCCAGATTTGCCCAGGAGTCACCTGGGAGCATCCTAGGAACACCTTGTCCTCCTCTATTTCTTGTAGCTCAACTGCTCTGCCCTGAAGAGGCAGTTTTGCTATCTTGTTTCCCCTTCTGTTAAGATGATCATCTCACTTATCACATAAGAATGGTCTAGGAACATTAATATAAAGGTCCTGAGTCTCCTTACTTTTATTAACTAACTGCAGTTGATGCCTTCCATATTCCTGCAGTTCAATTTCCCTGCTTCTCTGTGCTGTTTCAACTTTGTCTGTAAGAAGCCTAATGAAAGTTATTTTCTTTGTTTCTTCATAACTTAATTGTCTGTCTTCCATCACCCATTGGTGTCATGCTTTCCCCTATGTGTTCTCTACTTTCCATGCCCAAAACACTTTCGCTCACTCAGCCCGTCAGACTTCCTCTATTTGTCATATGGTAAGTGCCTGTTTATTTCCTAAATATGCCATGTGATTCCTTGGGTTATTCTTTCATGAGCACACTCGTGGTTGTGTCAGACTAAGGTTATTTTGTTGTTGGAATGCTGCCCTTAAGTGCCTCAAGAACTGGAACTTCAGTAATTCTCAGAGGAATCCCAGACCCTTTTGTGAAGCTGCGAATTCAAGATTAGGGAATTGAACCTGGGAAAATGCAGGGAGCACTGGAGAAGACAGACAGTTTAGAAAGGAAATAATTATGGCCCTCTTGGAGTTCTCTATGAGGATGCTAGGAGGAATAAGACACATTGATAACTATAATAAACAATAATACATAAGTGCAACAGAGAAAGGAAAAGATATGCTGTTCTTCTAGCATTATTCTCTTCTTTTGGCTCTTCTATGGATGGAATGGTATAGCAGATGGAGAACTGGCCTCAAAACCAGGAAGAACTGTGTTCATGTCTACCTCTGATACATATTGGCTATTGTAGGTGCAGCTCTAACTCAAGCACGCTTTGGGTTCAGTTTCAACACTGAGACAAAATGAGGAACTCTCAATCACTGAACAGCTAAATGAGGTTTATTTCTCCTTAACAGTATGAATATGCAATACGAATGCAGTGAGCTCTTCTCTGGACATGGCCCCCCTCGTCTCCATCTGGAAGTGAGTCTGGTCAATAAGTTATCGGGGTGTGGTGACTAATGTAGTATCAAGTACCTACTAAATCTGAGAGGCGTGATGGGGCTTTTTATGTTCCTCGATGAGAGAACTTTATCAGGGAAGCTGGAGTTGTTAGGGAAGCTGTGCTTGAAGGAAGTGGCATCAGGAAAATCACATACCACCCTTTGGTAGCAGAGTTTTAAGGATCTTTTAGAGGACCTTCCACCATACTTGTAGTTTTTTTGTTTTTATTGAATAGGCCTCCTGTCGTGAGTAATATTAAAGGGGGGAAAAAAGGGAAAACGAAAGAAATAAAAACAAAAATGTAATGAACAAAAGCCAGAACTTCTAGGTCTTTCTTCCCCTCCTTCAGAAGGACCAAGTCTCCAGAGTTTTGCTGAACAGTACTCCTAGTGTGGGCAGCACTAAGGAAAAAAGAGGAACCAAAAAAGAACAAAAATGTAGTGAAATCCTAAACCTTTCCTTATCCCTTTAGGTAAACTAAGTCTCACATTCTGGTTCATGTGATGTGTGATGCCACATCTTTGGAGTTCAAAGTGGATCAAAAGTAATAATGATGAACCAGACCAGCATCAAGAACATGACAGCCCCAGCACAGATGATGATGCCTCCAGGGTAGTTATAGATTTCTTCATCTCCATATGTGAAGTGGTGATGATGATGAACAGAAACAGCCCCAGGAATACCAGGGCCATTGCACAGCAATTTCTGACGTAGTCCACAATTCTTCATACCACATTAGGGTGATCTGTAGGTAAGTGGCTAAGAGGTCTTAAGCCTCTTGCATGCAACTACCACAGGATCTAAGTTGATACTGAGGGTCTCCCTGTACTGCTACCCCCTCAGTATTCCCTGGCTCACCATCCAAAACCTCCCCCTGCACTGGAGCTACATCAGGAGGATCATACACAATCTTTAACTCTTAGATTCCTCTGGGGAGGGCTTCTCCCCTTCTTCCACGGTAGCTAAATAAGAAGTCTTTCTCACCCTCATCCAGTGACTCAGAATTACTACCAGGTCAACTAAGGGATCCCCTTTCTTTCTTCCAGGTAAATATATACTCACAATAGTTATATAGGAAAAGTTTTATTTTCCACATGCTACTTGGTCCTCTAACACCTTTCTGGGAAAAAGTTATTTGAACCATCCCAGAGGAAAGGAAGTCTTCCAATTGAGGGCAATAGTGACTACTTCTCCAGGGTTAATGGAGCCTTCTGATGGGGCAAATACCTTGAAGCTAAAGTGACTCTGCTGGGGAGGGAAAGGCTGGAGAGGTTTAGCCAGAACTATATTCACAGTCTATTCTTATCAGATCCATCTTCCTAAAGACTAGAATCCAAGAAATCATTGGACAAGAAAGTCCTTACCTCTTCCAGGGTAGCATTGATTTGTCACAGACGTGGCTTCTGGGAAGTTACACACCTGATGTGGGCAGTCAGATACATGATGAGAGAGTTCCATTTTGCCAGCTGGGGACAATTTGAGAGCCACTTGGATTAGGAATAACTGCCTAGTTCTTAGTGAGGGGGATCATATGGTCCTGTGCTCATCATAGCATGGAATCACCACCTAAATGTTTAAATTGGCACTAGACTCACTCCCCAACATCTGCTATTCTTGTTATATCTCCAATGTGGTTGTTTAGCATGTCTCTAATGGTTGCTGATATGCCACATAAACAACTCTATGTAGAGGGAGACATCAGCAAAATGTCTCCACTAGTCCTGGCCACAAAGAGGAAAGCCTTTCATTATGCAGTCCTGTGTTCTCCAGGTCCACTTGGCCAGAACCGTAGCCGCTGCCCAGGAACTAGTATAAATGAAGATATGCCTCATCCCTCAAAGTTCTTTCACATGCCAGCCATGCTTCTTGGACCTCAGCCAACTAGAAAGACTTGCCAGGACTCTAGATCCTACTGAGATAGGAGCCATGAGACTGGAGGAAAACATAGGGCAGAAACTGGGAAACTCCCATTCAGGGTATGAAAGCTTATCCTGTCACTGCTCCCAGGAGGAATACCTTGACTCCCTACCTGTGGGTGGACCTCCTCTACCAAGAAGCTAAGGAAGTTGCAGAAGTTCAGACAGAAACTTGAGGAGTCCTGGCTACTGTTCTAATGGAACCGATGCTGAAAGGCTCTCTGCTGTGGACTTTCATGGATGGGGGAAATATCACAGGATCTCTTTTTATAAAGCCAACTGAATTTATTAGGGCCTCCAGAAAGAGAATGTTCATAGTCCCTTTTTAGGTGGTTGAGTTGGGGAGTTATTTGGACCTGGTCTTATAAAGATGAATTCTCCTTGCAGCGAGGTTGCAGGTGGAGATCCATCAGGGAAGGCATGAAGTTTCTAATGGAAATAGGCTTAATAAATTGGATTTGTTCCCCTCCCTAAGGCCTGCAATACACTACTCAGCTTAGTCTCAGGAGCAATTACATTCTGGATAGAGCCGCACCTGAATGGCTTCTTACTTTAACTATGGATCTCCCCACCACCACACAACCATTAGTTGTGGCCTGATCAACTGGTGAAATTTAAGCAACAAGTGAAATAGTTGTGGCTTGGGCAAATACTGCTTTCAGTGAAAACAGACACTCTATCAATGGGAGGAGAAGTCACAGATCCCATTGCTACACTGATAGGTGGGCATATGGGAATGACATTATTCCTAGGAGGGAGCTTTGGGTGTGGTTCCCGAAACATGGAACTGATAAGAGGTCCTAGTTAAACTATATGGAGAAATCAAGCTTCAGGGCACTAGGGCTCTTTAGCCCCACCAAAGCCTCTGCCACATTTGGAACACACAGGGCATATATCCATGTCCATGGAGGAAAGGGGTGCTATGGGGTTAGGATTGAATGGGCCCTTTCAGTAACCTCCAGGCATGTTACTATGAGTAGGGTCAAATGGAAACCCTTAGAATTACCTGAACCATCCCGTATGGTTATCTCCATATAATATCAGATCTCCAGGGGAGTAAAAGATATTTCTTCCATAGTGATGAAGATGAAGAAAATTGCCATACTTCATTATACAAAATCTCCTTAAAACAACTTCATGTTAATTATTAGGAAGTAGATGGTACCTAGTAGCTTCTGTTGCTAAGGGGAAATGGTACATTAGAAATCATGATTGGATGGGTCCCCCTGGTGTTAGAGCTCTTCACAAACAGTCTGGTGATGACTGTGTCAGAGACTAAGGCCTCCAGTCCAGACCTTGGTATTCTGCCTCCTCTCCTGGCCCAATGGGCTCCCACCTATAAAGATTTGGCTCCTGAGGATTGCCATCTTGCCAGTTGGACCAATGGCTCCATCTGCAATGAGAGACATAAGCAACTGGACTTCAGCAGCTACTAATCTGGTAACAAGAAATACATTAAGGAGTAGGAGTCCTGGCCAGTCTTTCTAGGTGGCTGAGGTCCAAGAAGCATGGCTGGCATGTGAAAGAACTTTGAGGGATGAGGCATATCTTCATTTATACTAGTTCCTGGGCAGCGGCTACGGTTCTGGCCAAGTGGACCTGGAGAACACAGGACTGCGTAATGAAAGGCTTTCCTCTTTGTGGCCAGGACTAGTGGAGACATTTTGCTGATGTCTCCCTCTACATAGAGTTGTTTATGTGGCATATCAGCAACCATTAGAGACATGCTAAACAACCACATTGGAGATATAACAAGAATAGCAGATGTTGGGGAGTGAGTCTAGTGCCAATTTAAACATTTAGGTGGTGAATGGCAGGAATGGGGCTGCACACTTGTGGTGGGAGGGGGCCAGCACAAGTTCAAAGACACATAGGGGCCAGGGACAAAGAAGCAAGAGTAGCAGGATGAGGAATGCTGGTGGGGGGGAGCAGCCAGTGGGGACATGGCCAGAACCCAGAGGAAGAGCACGGGCAGGGCAGGATGGGGAGGGGAGAGACAAACACTTTACGACTCAATGTGGATACAAATAGGAGAGGACGGGCAACACTTGGGGGGCTGGACAGGATGACAGACATGCTGGGTTGACACCCAGGAGGGAACAGGGGAAAAGTCTCCTGTCTCGGCGCTGGAGGTCTCAAGCCAAGCCCTAGGTAATCTCTCTCCCCACACCTTTCTTCTGCTTTCATCTGGAGGGCTTTTTTTTTGGTGGGGGGGAGGGGGTGCAGTTAGGTTGCTTTGTTGATGTTGCTGAGGGGGCATGGAGAAAGAGAGCACAATACTGTACAGTAAAGTTGACGTAGGTTTGTGGTTTTTTTAAAATGTGGATGTCTTTCAGAATTATTTACATAAAGCAAGAACTGTCTGTAATTGTATCTACAAGCTATTCAAAGGAAGTATACCAGTGAATGCTTCTGACTGGGGCCCCTCAGTCCCTACTCCCATCAGAAGAGATCTCTTGACTTGCAGAGTCACCAACTCCATTAGCCACCCCTCTGCTTTCATTGCAGTCCCTGAAAGCTGAGAACACTTTCTAGCTGCAGCCAGCCCAGTTTACTTTCAGTATACTATACTGGCGGTGCAGTTTATGCATCAGTCAAAAACCTCGAGGGAATGCTGGCCATGGCACTCTCTTTACCCTCTGCCAGAATGGGAATTTGCTGCTAGTCCCACAGAGAGGACTCCTTATATAAGATCAGGAGGGCTCTGGTGACAGGGAGCCAGGCAGTCTCTCATTATCCTGTCACACAACCCTCCTCCTCCATATTGGCATAGCTCTTCTCCCAGCTCAAACATGATGTGATCCATGAGGCCATCTCTTCTTGTCCCAACCTGCCAAGACTATTCCAAATGTTTTAGGCATAGTTCTAATGCCAATACCTTCTTAGTTCAGGTTCAATGTTGGAATGAAATGAAGTACTCACAAATCACTGAACTTTTATCAAAGGAGGTTTACTTTGCCCTAATACAATAAGAGAATCAAACATGGAACATGAACGTGGTCCTTTGCTTCTTTGGGTGTGATCCCCATCTCCATCTAGAAACAAGTCTGGTCAATAAGTCATCAAAGTATGATGACTTTAAAGATCTCAGCACCCAAGAAGTTTGAGAAGCAAGGCTGGGCTTTTTATGCCCCTAGATCAGGAAGCTATTTTAGAGAAGCTAAGTCTGTTAGGGAAATTGAGGCTGAAGCAAGTTGGGTGAGGAAAATGCTGCTGTTTCTATCACAGTGGCTGTGTGATCTTAGGCAAGCTAGTTAAATGTTCAATGATCTTGGAAATTCTTCAAAACTATAAGTTTCAGAGAAGGTGTGGACCTGCATTCATAGAGGGAATTAAATGAATGATAAAATCACAGACCAAATCTCTTTACTAAGGAAAATAAAAATGAGCTGTTACGCATAAGTGAATTTTCCAGAAAATGGACATATACCATTATATGTGTCAAAATATTTGGTATTTAACTTATTTTTTCATGAAAATATTTATACTTTGATATTTCCCCTGCCTTTATAACCAGAATGTGTTGAATGTAGTTTAACCTTTTCTTGATAACTTAAGATCATCTTTTTGAACACGAGGCAGAATATCTCAGACTGCTATGCTTTTGTGTTCATATATCTCCTGGTTTTGTTTTATTTTTTCCTGTCCTCTTACTATCATATCAATTGGTAAACAGTTATTTAACCCCAATAGGCACTAGGGATACAATGATAAAAATGAAGCAGTCCTGCCTTCAAGGAGCTTAGATTCTGTCAAGAGAAATAACATGTATTCATATGAGCAAATGCAAAATATGTGCAAAAAATAATTTTGGGAAGTGCTCTAGCAACTAGGG